CCCTCCCTCCCCGAATCAGGTAACTCGGAACCACAGAACAGAAAGCGGCAGGACTGGCATGGCGGCTTGGGTGTGAGCTTCAGACTCCATCAATGTAAGCTTTTCTCATCTCATGAAGAGAGGTAAGCATAGTCGTTCAGCAGAAATGTTTTCTGGGTACCTACTGTGTGCCTTGGCATCGTCTGAGATGCTGAACTAGTCTGACCGGTTGAGAAAAACCTTGTTGGGGTTGAACATGCTGGCACATGCTGGTAATCTCAACAATCGGAAGTCTGAGGCAGAGTTAGCTGGGCTACACCACAAGTTCAAGGCTAACCCTGAAACACATTGGTGAACCCCTGCTTTTGTTTTTAAAGTCCCCAAATACACACAGTACTTACACAGCTGCCTGGGAGGGGTGTTCAGATTATTCAAGATAGCGTTTCATTGTTCTAAGGAAATCCTTCCTCTGTGCTGGAGAGTATGTGGAAGGGCAAACCTCTTACGCAGTGTGTGCGCGCGCGCGCGTGTGTGTGTGTGTGTGTGTGTGTGTGTGCGCGCGCGCGCGCGTGTGTGTTTGCTCGCGCACCCGTGTGCACATGTGATAAAGAAAACCCTTTTACTACCTGTGCAAAGTGGGCTGTGTCTGGTTGGATGTGCAGGGACCCACCTCTGAAATGAGTCTATCTGCTGACACAGGACTATGCTTATACAGCAAAACAAAGAGGGGGCAGTGATGCCAAAATTAACCACACCGCCTGCAGGGTGCCCTAGAAAGAAAGATCTGGTTGGGAGTGCGCAAAGTACCCCATGAGTCCTGAGTCACTCGAGGAGACCTTCAAGTCCTCTTTCGGGGTTTTCAGAAACAGGTAACTTGTAAGAAACTAACTCTGAAGGAGACAGAAATAGCAACCTTCTGGGTAACACGAGGCATCCTGGGGAGGTGTGGCGTCAGGGCCCAGGAGAGGAGGGGGAGGAGCCACAAAGGGGGAGGAGCCACAAGCGCGAAGGTCACCACGAGGATGGATGGCCATGCAGAAGCAAAACAACTGAGCCTTTAGGAGCTGGAGGAAGCGGCCAGGGGACAAAGCCATGGTCCACAGAGCTCTAAGAAGGACGAAGGCCAGAGAGCCCAGCACAGCCGACCTCACCACCCTGTAAAGCAGAAGAGGCTGTGCTGCAAGGGCTCTGGCTGTACAGCAGAAGAGGCCTTCACCTGAGGGAATGCTTGTTTTTCCCTTCAAATCTGCTGACCCCAAAGATGGGCAGTGCACATGTCTGTGACAACCAAGATTCTAACAGACGGCTAGACGGTTCTTGCTCTGCAAAAGCAGCCCGCTGCAGCAAGCTGCAGACAGACACGGTGTCTCAATCATGAAGTTGTCACTTCTCTACCAGGGGCTATAATCAAAAGACTGTTTCTTTTCTTTCTTTCATTTATTTATTTGAGACAGGGTTTCTCTGTGTAGCCCTGGCTGTCCTGGAACTCACAGAGATCCACTTGCCTCTGCCTTCTGAGTGCTGGGACAAAACACTTTCTCAGTCCAGCAATGTGTAATGTTAACTGTGCCCATGAACTTATAAACAAGCAGCCATTTCTCTGATACAAAACTTTTTAAGTTAAAGAGATTCCTTAGTGGATTAGTGTACTGGCTACATCACATTCTTCTCTCAGGATGTTATTGCTGACTCCCTATTTAAATTTAATAAGCACTTCGTGGTGACAAGACCCATTATGTAATCATTAATATTCATTTGCCATGAATATTGCAGAAAGTAAAATATTACATTGCCCTACATTGTCAGTGCAGAGATTAGATGCTGTTAAAACCTGAGGCTGGTTAGAAGCCAAGTATTTTTACGTGTTCAACAGTCAAGATGGAAGGTGAAGACTACCAAGTCATAAACAAGACTGTCACCTCCACTGGTCACTTCTAAAGAAAGTGACAAGCTGGGCAGTGTGGTGCACGCCTTTAATCCTGGCACTCGGGGAGCAGAGGCAGGCGGATCTCTGTGAGTTTGAGGCCAGCCTGGTCTACAGAGCGAGTTCCGGGACAGCCAGGGCTATGCAGAGAAACCCTGTGTGTTGAAAAAATAAAAAGGAGATGTGGGAGCAAAAACATGGGAAGCCTAATGAAGAATGGCGTTCTAAATAAAAGAAAGGCACACCTGTTTCAGACGTTCCCACACTCAAGGGACGCTCAGGACTTGCCCAAACCTTATTTCCAGCCCAAGAGTGAAGCGTCGCACAACGCCTACTGATAGCCCCCATGGTTGCTCTCACTGTTGTTGAGGAGCTGGCCTGGCATCCTTGCACCACGACAGCATTGCACATCTGGTGTGGCACGTAGCATTATGGCCACTGGTGTGCGAGGTTTGAGTCCACAGATGAGGGCAGAGCCTGAATTCTCTGGCTGATATCGGTACCCTTCCACCTACGCGCCAAAGGCTGTCCTGAGAGGAAGCGGAAGGGCCTCCCGCCATCGCAAAGAAGTTATCAGGATTTCTGCAGCCAGAGCCGTCCCTTCTGCAGCCAGCTCATGACAGGCGCCCGGCTGGCAGCTGGGAGGGTCCTGGAGTGGGCCATCCGTTGCCAGAATCATGGTTAGGTTTTGTCAATGGCTTGGACCATTCGTACAAATGTAATCACACCTGTCAACCCAGAGAAAAGACGGGTCACTTCCGAAGTCGTTAGTCACTGCCACCTTACACGTGAGAGAGAGACGGCTGAGGAGTTCCGGGAGACTGGTGCGTTGTTTTCCTGGGCTCCGCCGCCCCAAGCACTGCTCTTCTCTTCCCGGTTGGCACCTTCATAAGGGTGACAGGCGCAAGGCACAAACGTCTCAGCACCACAGAGGAAAAGCCAGGGCTCTCCGTAGGGAAGACGCCCAGACCGACCTTGGCATGTGCTGTCCATTCAGTCTCACTGCCTACAGGAACCGGACAGACAACCGAACAGACAAGACTTCTGATGGGAGGCAGCCGCCTAGGGTGGCCGGAACTCAGAACCCCAGCGAAGGGAGGAGCCAGCTTGTCTTCCGCCTTGGAAGTCGCGGGAGAATCCACCGGGCCCTTCCCAGGCTTTTCTCTGTGCTAGCCTAGAACCCGAGAGTTCCTCAGTAAGCCACCGGCCTGGGTGCCTGGTTGGAGCTGGCCAGGCCCGGGGAGAGCAACACCAGAGGAACTTTTCGAGCCACACCACTAACTTGATCCTACCGCTCCTACTGCTATCCCGATAGGCACCCAAAGTATCTTCCAGTACCAGTGGGGCCCCAAGTGTCCTCTCTGAACCCCTGACAGCATGATGGCCTGGGTGGTCTCTTGGTTCCAATGAGATGGCGGGGTTTGGCTTCGAGTGGACACTCTCAGTGGCCAGGATTATTTTTAGAAAACGATTTGCAGACATTCCCATTCTCTCATTTCCAAATGAAAATTCCTTCCTTGTGGCAGTTCTCAAAAATCCTATTGTAAATATCCTTTATGGAAATATTTACCCAGGACATTAGTTAAAGCCATGGGATTTAAAGGATAAAACAGGTCTAGAATTTACACAGTGTAGATTCTTTCTGGAAATTCCTAATACAAATCAGATGTGCATACGACCTGCCAAAATCTAGAAATTTCAGATCAGCACCAAACAGCCTGAATTCCGTTCAGAGAAGCCTCTGGCCAGCACACTCTGTGCCCACCTGCTGTCACTGCCAAGGTCTCACTAGCCCATTAGGGTGAGATTAGCATAATCTTCTCTAAGGAACACTAATAGCCTGAGAAGAAGATACACCCATGGTCTCTGAATTGTCAGCAGGCTGGGAACTCAATTTGCCATGCCATAGAGAGAGGTGTCAGTATTTTTAAAATTGTTGTACTTTATGTATATGGGTGTTTTGTCTGCATGTATGTCTATGCACCATGTGTGTGCAGTACCCAGGTAGCGGGTATCAATCGGAGCTCCTGGAACTGGAGTTACAGGCTAGCAGGAGCTGATACATGGGTGTTGGGAATTGAACCCGGGTCCTCTGGAAGAACAGGCAGTGGTCTCCACTGCTGAGCCATCTCTCCAGCCATTTACCTTTTCTTCTTCTTTGTGCTCTTCTCCCTCTCCTCCTCCCACTCGTCCTACAAAGGTCCTTTTCAGAACTAAAACTGACTGGAGTTTCCGCGTGCCTTACAAGACTGTTTCAAACTTGGAAGCTTTACAGCCTGCGGTTTGGAACCCACCCTGTTCTGACGAAGCTGTCCCCTTCCATGAACGTCTAAAAAGAAACAAGGTTAACCTCTAAAACTGAGCCTCCTTCCCAGACTTCACAGCGCAGAAAAACTGAAACCAGAGCGTGGCAAGAACAAGACCCACACTCGGCAGATAGGCACAGGAGCTTCGCCGACACAACACATCCTTAAAACAGGTTGTTAACATGCAAAAAAAAAAAAAAAAAAAAAAAGGCTTTTGGGAGTAAAATATTAGTATGCGTTTCACAGGTATTTATCATAATTCACTGTAAACTAAACTCATAGAAACTTTACAGTTAGGAGTAAGTGTAGGGCAGGAAACCAGAAAAGAAAATGGTTCGAAATTCTGGTGCTAGCTCACTTTGAAAACCGCCCCTGAGTGAGTGTAACAGCACGGCTTTCAAGCCGTCCCAGAAAACTTTGCTGACAAAGTTTAAACATTCCAGAAACATTAACTTGAAGATTACTTTGGGAGGGTGTATTGGTGATGGGAGGTACTGCACCTAGAAACTCAAATCCACTTCCTGGGCTGATTTCCTCAGACACTGCTCTATTATTAGTATCAGTATCAGTATTATTAAGTCAGATGGGGGCGGGGCACTAGATGTCTGGGTTTCCTGGATGTGACCTGTGATTGTCAGCTGTCATGCTCCTCTCCGCCATTACGCCCATTAATGCAGTCTCACAAGGCCTGGAGCTCAGGCAGGGCCCTCACTTGTCGAGAGGGATCTCCTGAGGAGTCTCTTGGGTAATAAAATGTCAGAAGGCATTGCCAGCACGTAAGGGCTCCTCACCTCTCATTGTTCTTCTTGCCGCTGGAGGAACTGCTGGTAGAGCCCGTGCGGTTCCGGCTTCCCTTGGAGTCCCCGGAGCTCTCTCTCCGGCCACCTGGAGACACTCGTTCGGAAGAGCTGGTCCTATTGATGCTGTGGGAAGGAAGGACGGGCCGGTGAGACTGAGCCCTCCCCAGTGTGACTGTCCTTCACTGCTGAGTGTATTGAGGGTGACAGGCTACACACTCAGGCTCTCACACTGCCATTTGAAAGACACAGGGGTTCAAAATCCTTACCAAAGGCTCCCACAATGTCACCTGGAACCCATGCCTCTCCTTACTCGCTGCCTTGGGCAAGTGACTATGTAGTTCAGAGTCATAGAGGAAACCGAGCCCAAGACCCCAATACACTGTGGGAGGGCTTTGAAGGTCGGGGACCTGCCCTTAAGGGTGTTTGAGCATACATCAGTGGCTCTTCACCGAGGGTGATAATATCCTCCAGGAGACACCTGGCAATGTCTGGAGGCATCCCTGGTCACAAGGGAGGGGAGAGGGCTGCTGCTGCTGAGAAGAGACCAGAGAGACTGCAATTCATCCTCCAATGCATGGGGCACCCCTCAGCAGGGGTGTCTAGAGCAACCACAGTGCTGCCTCAGGAGAACATAGCCAGAAGCACACCAGGGACAGACGCAGACAGGGAGGGCGCCACAGACCACGGCCAAAGCATCTACCACACCGTCTTTATTTGCAGTCTGAGAACACAGCTTCAGGCCGTCTAATAAACAGGCCTGGAATGTTGGGAGCCTGGGAAAGAGCCAACAAGGGTTTGAACATGCCTAAATGACCCACACAGAAGAACCTAGTACAGGCCAGGCTTCTTAAACATTTTCCCGGGTGCCTTTACCTGAGATGCCCTCACGTGATCTGGGTTTACAGTACCTAAAGGAGGCATGCAAACAGAACACTCACCACTAAGAAACTACACATTTATTTTTAAAACAGTTCTTTGGCACACGTCTGATTTCCCACTTACTGAAATCATAGCCAATTTGCCTACTAATGATGTGATTGTTTATTTTGACATGAAGATTTAAATCTTAGCTGAATATCTGATAGTACAGGGTGTACGGCATCTTCGGTGTTTATTGGAGTTCATTGATATTCCAGATGAGTAACTCTTGATGCCAAGAACTCTACTTCATGTAAATTTGTAGCACAAAGTATGCTTAGGACCATATCAGAACTTGTTGGGAATTCTAACCTAAATCAAAATCTATTCAAGTGATTCACAGATTTCAAGGCTGTACCTCAAACAGCAATTTAAAGATTATTTTATTTTGTTTTTAATTATGTATATGCACACACATAGGGTGTCTGTGTGTGTGTGTGTGTGTGTGTGTGTGTGTGTGTGTGTGTGTAGTAGTAGTAGTCATTGGAGGCCAGATGATGGCATTGGATCCCCTGGTGCTGGAGTCCAGGCAGTTGAAAGTCACCTGGTGTGGGTTCTGGGGACCAAACTCTGCAAGAGCAGCAAATGCTTTTAACCACCAATCCGTCTCTCCAGCCTCAAACAGCAATTTTAGAAACTCCTAACACAATAGAATTCAACGGTATATTATTAGATACTTACAAGCTGAGGAAGGACAGTAAGAAAGTACTGATTAAGCCATTATGTGTCTACAGCATCAGGAAACTTTGTATATGTAGTAAAAACACCACAGTTCATAGCTTGGAATCTGAGCCTAGGTGTTTCAAGCAAAGCTCCCTAGTGTCGCAGGCATGATGGCATGCACAGTAGAGAGTGTACACTGTGTGTTCAGAACCAAGGCTGCAGCGAAGCCACACAATGCCATAAGGGTGGGCACTGTCACAAACCTCTGGTTCATTAATTTTTAGTTAATTTTTGTTTGCTGGTTGTTGAGAAATCTTTTATTCTTGTGCTTTTGTTCATAAAATTTTCATGGCTCCCTCATTCCATCGCTGAAACTCACACATGCTTGTCACCCACGGTCGAAAGTACGGGCCAGAAGAAAGTAATCAATGTGTGGGAATTCCAGTCAGGTGTGGAGGAGCACACCTTTAAACACTTGGGAGACAGAGACATGTGGATATCAGTGAGTTCGAAGCCACCCTGGTCTACAAGTGAGTTCCAGAACACCCAGGGCTGTTACACAGAGAACCCTATCTCGAAACACACACACACACACACACACACACACACACACACACACACACACACACACACACACGAGTCCCAAAGGCACACAAGGAGCCAGGGAACAATGAAGGCTGAGTAACCCTCCCAGAGCATCCAATAGTTTCACCCACTGAAGCCTGCCCCTCTGCACCACAGTGCTGGAGGTGTGGTCCTTCGGGAGGTAATTAGGTCATCAGGTTGGAGAGCCCTGATGAATGTGCTTAGTGCTTTCATAAAAGGGGCTCCTGAGAGCCTTCGCTCCCTGACCACCTCATCAGGACACAGAGTGAAGAAGCAGGCTGCAACCCAGCAGAGGACCTCCTGGAACCTGGCACCCAATGAAGTCCCACTCACACACATGAGCAACCACTTCCTCTTCTGTGGTTTGTCAGTCCACAGACTTGTGGTACTGTGTTAAAGCATCTGAAACACACCTAGGCAAGCACATGACTGTTACAGGCTTCTCCGGGAGCCCCTTACCTTCCTTGTAGGCCAACCATGAGATCTTACCACAACAGGCGGTTTTGCATTCTTTGCAGAGCCCCATGCAGGCCAGAATGGATGAAATAGTGAGGTGTCAGTCTCTGCTCCTGCTACAGACTCTGCCCTCGTCTGTGAGAAGGGGGAAGGCGTCCGTTGTGCAGACAGGGGAAGAGGAGCCAGGGTGGGGAGCTTGGTAGTTACACGCACAGGGCTTGGGACAGGGCTATTCATCTGGTGGCTGTTGAAGGGTGTCACTGGGCCACAGATGTAGGGAAGGCAGCAAGAAAGAGAAGAAAGTGATGGAGAGACGGTTCAGAGGATAAGAGCACTGACTACTCTTCCAGAGGTCCTGAGTTCAATTCCCAGCAACCACATGGTGACTCACAACCATCGGTAATGAGACCTGGTGCCCTCTGCTGGTGTGCAGACATAGATGCAGATGGACCACTGTATACCTAATTGAAAAATACATCTTGAAAGAAAGAAAATAAGAAAGAAGGAAAGACAAAAAAGAGAGAAGAAAAGCCCCCCCGAAAGTGCTTTTTTAGAAGCAGGTTGAAAAGCTGCATGGAATCGGGTAGCAGACACAGGACAAGCTCGGGGGGGGGATTATCTCAGAGCTAAGAAGGACATGGCCCATGGCAGGAAGACAAGCCACCAAATCTCATAGCAGTGCACAGGAGCTGAGGGACCTAAGACAGCAGGACCCCGCCAGGGCCCTGTTCCAGGGTGAAACCACCCCGTGTGCCTCCAGCAAGGCTCCTGTCACTCACACATCTTCCTTCTTGGCCACTCTCTTCCTCCTTGGTCTATCCCTCCCTTAGTCCAACCTTCAGCTTCCTTGATAGTAACCTTGTGTTATGTTTGCAAAGGCCACCATGAGAAAATGACTGTGACCATGACCGTTTTTGCACAAGGTCTTTCTGGTGACTGAAGGAGCTTTGGATCTGTGTCACTGGGCGTCTCACAGGAGGCTCTTCATGGGTGTGTCTAAAGGTCAGCATGTGGTTTGTTCATTTCTTTGTGGGTTTTGTTTTAGAATGCTCAATTTGGGGACAAGAAAATGACATGTCTTAGGACAACACGATTTTTCTGAAACCCAGGATTATAGCCTAAAGACCAGAGAAACTGTTATGCCTGGGGTTCACCATCTTCCCATGATGAAAACCATCAGCTGCTGTACCTTACCGAGCCACCTCTGCCAAGCACCCGGTGCAGACTCGGAAGCTCTCCTATGGGAGCCACTGGAAGGGCCCAGGAGACTGCGGCAGCAGAAAGAGTCCCAGAGCAACGCCTCTACAGTGTCCTTGTGGGAGTTCGTGTTAAGTTCACGGCAATTTAAAGACCTGCACAAAATGTCCCAATGGCATGGTAAAGCATATTTATCATCCAACTACGTCAAACACTAACCAAACTCAAGCCAGTGCCTGGAACAGCGGTTAATGGGAAGTGGACATATCCCATCTTACATAGATTATTTCACCTAAACCTCACACATTTCCTGCAAAAATATCATCATCCTCATTTTACAGATGATGAAAACAAGTTCAGGGATATACAACGACTTGCCTGAGCTTCTGAGAGGGGCTGGGTTAGTGGCTCCAGCCCATGCCCTCTCTCTCTACTGGTCACCTAACCAGGACCTTCCTGCAGGAAGTCTCCTTAGTCACTCAGGGGGGATAGCAAAGGGGGTATGTTCCCTCGGGGCTCTGCATATCTGATGAGTTTCCACAAATCCAATACATAACAAACTAATATAGTTACACGGCCTAAGCCTTGCCACAAGGGAGGCCCTGGATAAGGCCATCAAGCCACCGTGTTGGAGGGAGGGGAACAAGGATTACCCAGCAGATCTGAGCTCCCTCGACTTGGCACTGATCTGTTCGGAGTATTTCAGACCCATTCTGTCCACACATAAGAGTGTCAGTGGGAGAAAGAATTTCGTTGTTTTAGATTTATTTATTTTTATTTTTATGTGCAAAAATGAGTTGTGGAATATTAAAAGATGTGCTACATTCATTTATGTTGTGGAATATTTGTTTAATGATGCAAGGATGTGTTGCATTCTTTTATGTTACATTTGTTTAACTCTGTGAGGCTGTGTTACTTTGCCTGTCTAAAACAGCTGATTGGTTTAATAAAGAGCTGAATGGCTAATGGCTAGGCAGGAGAGGGATAGGCAAGGCTTCCCCAGGCAGACAGAATAAACAGGAGGAGAAATCTGGGCTCAAAAGAAAAGCAAAAAGAGAGAGGAGCCAGAAAAGCCAGCCAGCCACAGTCAGCCACAGAGTAAAGAAGGAAAAAAAGATACATAGAATAAAGAAAGGTAAAAAGAGAGAGGAGCCAGAAAAGCCACCCAGCCACAGTCAGCCACAGAGTAAAGAAGGAAAGAAAGATACATAGAATAAAGAAAGGTAAAAAGACCAGAGGCAAAACATAGTTAAAGAGAAGTAGGATAATTTAAGTTAGAAAAG